ACAGCACCTCTGGAAAGCGTTTGCGCACTTTTCGAATGTGTATTGCGCCATCCTGAAGGAAATGAGAGGACATGAGATATCCAACCTTCCTGGCTAGACGTCACAAGAGCCACTGGACCCATTCTCCTCAAACTCGGTTGTGCAACAAAATGGTGGTATTTTGGAGCTATTTTTCGAGATTTCGTCGGCGCACAGAAAATCGAGGATTTAATGGAATCCAAAAATTTTTTCGCAGAACTATTTCAAATAACAAGTAGATTCGTTTTAGCAAAAAAAAATTTGGGGGGTTAGGTGCACTTTAAAAAATTAAAGATATCTGAGGTTTGCCTATTTTAATAATCATCCTACAATCCATTATGCGAAGGTGCAGTAGCCTAATGGTTAGTGCGCTGAACTCAGGATCCAGTATTCCAAGTTCCAACCCTTGTCTGGCTCATAACATTGTGTTCCAGGGCAAAACACTTTACTCTCTTGATGCTTCTTGCCACCCAGGACTGGGTTGTTCAAAAGGTGGATAACGCTATCCACTGGATAAATCACTATCCAGCTGACAACGTGGTTTGTTTTGTTAACATTTATCCACTGAATAGCGATTTACCTGGTGGATAGCATTATTCAGCATTCGAACAACTGGGGCCATGTGTATAACAACTAAAAATAACAAGTTACCACTTTATTTAAGTGTCATGGTATTTAGTACCGCTGTGCTAATTGGGAACACTATAAATGAAGAAACATGTACTTTAAATAGAACTAAAACTTGCTACAAATCCCAGCTGGTTAGAAGCTGACCAGAAGTTATAAATGGGTCCCAGCAAATAGGCCATTTTCCAGTTGCTTTATGCCTCTGTGTCAAAATGAGTCTTTGGGTAAAACCATTGTTATGAAAATGCATTTCATCTGTAAGTGCATTTTCATGCAAATCAAACTCATTTTCATAAGAAACATTTAGAAAAAGGACTCGTTTTGAAACAGGCAAAGGATAGTAAATGCCGTCCAGGGAGTAGTCCTGCAATGTACTAACATCCCCTCCACGGGGGAATAAAAATACTCCTAATTGCTTCATGTTACCAGGGCTCGAAATTGCAACCAATACAGTCGCATTTGCGACTAAATCTTCTCCCTTTGCAACTAAAACTTCTTTAGCAGTCACAACGTTGTGACTAGTTTTCCCCAAAATTAATACAGAAATAAAAATTTTGTATGTTTTGTGACATACTTGTTCAGGAGATTAAAAAATGTACAGCGAAAATCCTTCTCAATTTCCATGCAACACTATGTAACACGATTTGCTCGATCAGATGCCATTACAGTGGTTTCATTATAAACATGTTCGCTGACGCAGATTTTGTTGTGAAACCACTGGATTGTCAACTTAATTATCAAACCGCAGTCTCAGGATGCCAACACGTGACGCTTTTTTCTGGTATTTCAAACAACTTTAAAGAATGTTGGCCAATATTCAAGATTTAACCAGTTTCAAGAATCATCTTTTAAATAATGAAATCGGCGAAGCGAAAAGTTTGCTTGCCAGGAAACAAGCAGCATTCAAGGATGTGACCAGAGCAGTGAAAGTAACACTGGAAACGGCTCATTTCTCACACACGTCTTTCGTTGCAAAGATTTCATGGGAATACCTTCTTGTTTTGGCATGATTACTTGTTAGACTACTATACCTAAGATTTATAGCTTAGGGTGAAACACAACCTTTGTCTTTTTGAAGTATAAGTGAAACACTGGGAAAGGTAAAGTGTTGAACATCGTGAATGCATATTTACACAGCTAATTTAGGCTTTACACTACAAGTTCATAACGAATTAAGCGCTTGGTTAGCAAATGGAAACAGGGATTTCACATCATTCAGAGATGTTTAAAGATTGTGTCCCTTCTAGAATTTTAGCTTGGGTACTAATATTGTTCAGCAGGTTTTGAGTGGCATTGAACTTTTATAAATTGAGTGAACGGTATAATTATACGATCTTTCCTGATTGTTTGTATGATTGTGGCGTCAGTAATACACAATCCGTTTTCAGATATCAATAGAAACTGTTAAGTCAAAGCTGCTGAATGAAGAAATAAAATTAAACATTCTTATTAATACGTTAGTCAAAGTGGTTATTAATAATTAACTTATGCTCAGCGACTAAATTTTGAGAACTTGTGACTAACTTTTCTTAACGGGTCGCAAAAATGTGACAGCTTTTTTTTATTTCGAGCCCTGGTTACAGAAAATAGGACAAGCTCTGGCTTCGTGGGCCACTGGGTGTCTGGCTGTTTCAAGGCATACTACTGTTTTTTGTAACTTGATCTTGTTCCTAAACTTTACACCAAAAACAGGGTTTGTCACTTAATTCTCTCAACCAAACATAATGTAGCTGTTACTGATTTGTCAAGTTAGCATTTGATTCATTGGTGCTTATTAATACACCTGAGTGGAGAAAGGCACTATGAGAGTAAAGTGTCATGCTTAAGAACACAATGCAATGACCCTGGCCATGGTTCAAGCCTAGACTGCTTGATCCAGAGTCCTGCACAAAACCATTTGGTCGCTACACCTCCACTGAGGAGTATTACTTTTTACCCTGGATGGGAGGTTAGTCACCCTTAATGCCCAGCCCACTCAATCTGGAGTCCACTGTGCTATCCATGTACCAGCCGGCAATCTTTGTTACAGATACTCAAACCTCTTTAACAGACTCACTAAGGCCCAGTTCATACGCCGCATTTCTGCCGTGTCGAATTCAATTCAATGTATTAAATTTGACAGAAATTCAACGTCTGAATCGGCTGCCGCATTTCTGCCGCACCTTCGACTGGTCTTGTCGCATTATCCGACAGAAATGCGACACCGATTCAGACGTCGAATTTTTGCCGTGTCAAGTNGTTCCATTGGCGGTCAATTTTTTGCAAAATTAAAGTTCTTCGTCGCTCAGTATTTTCGTCCGCCATATTGAATACCCTCCGTTTAAAACATTTTCCGCTAGCTGACATACCCGACAGTACAAATTCCGAATTAAGTGCCACACCAGTGCGACGTATGAATCGACAGTTGCATTTCTGCGGCACTTAATTGAATTGAATTTGACACGGCAGAAATGCGACGTATGAACTGGGCCTAAGACTCAATATAGTCTGCATATTCAATGGTCCAGAAAATTACATAGCTGTACATAAATACAAAAGATCCACAACTTACAACCAGAAAGAAAGGTCTTAATGATTGATAAATCTGGGAAATCAGGGTTTAGATAATCAACGTCCAATGGTACTTCCTGGCACTTATAAATCATGCAAATCTTGTTTTATAGAATGAAGGACTGGATTGTAGAACTTTGGGTTCCAGTTCGTTGAACAAGAGTTCAGAAAGATAATGTTCCACCATGTTAATTTATCAAATGTTTTCAGGAGTTTGAGTTTCGTCAATAATTGGAATTTAATCATAATTAAACAAGATTGCTGTTAATTGCATTGGTTATTTGGTTGTTTTGTTGTTATGTAAGGTCGCCAGAGATGGAGGTCATATGTATATTAGTTGGGATTGTAATGATCAATATATTACAATTGATATGCTGACTCAGACCTGGTTCCAAGCTCTTTTAGAACTTAATAGCAAAGTAATTCAAACATAACAGCCATCTCTTCCACATCAAACAAATATTGGTATCAATTACGGTGGTAGATACATTTCACTTCAGTTTTTGAGACGAGAAAAAAACACTCTATGTCTGGCCTTTAAGATATGTAAAATGGACATGACAACAAGCAATCAAAGAGAACGCATAAATATTTAGACTCACGTAAACCTTTCCCTACGCAAGGAGGAAGTTTCTCTACGCAATATAACAATGAAGCCAAGGGGCAAAGATCGACCCCAGCTAACTTTTCAAGACCCTAAGCCGCTTAAAAAAGAAAGTGTTGGAAAACTTCTGAGAATATTGAGCAATCAATGTGAATTTACCTTTTGTTCGAGGCCGTATGCAAAATTAGTTTCGCTTTTGTTCGACAGGGTATTCACACGATCTACATACATACATGACGCTGCGAACTGAATTATGCGCTTGAAATCAAATTCTGTATTTAAATAGATTTCACCAGAGGGGATTCCAAGACGAGTTTAAGTTTCCCTTTCAGCCAGGTACTTCCCTTCTCGAACTTCTCGTCGCCTTTTAATGTATTCTTTAACCGGTGTTTTCGCCCCACCCCCGTCTAAAACCCGTCGCGATCATCGAGAAATTTTTAGTTTGTTAAAAACCACGTGAAAGGTGAGTTTAAAAGTGTTTGTCTGTTCGGAATAAAGCGTGTTTGATAACAGAAAAAAACAACCTGTTCGTCTAACCGGATGGCATTGTACCGATCACCTTCAATACGTTTGTTGGAAGTAAGCTTGAATGTTTTCGATTCAAGAAGAAAGATCGATCAATTTGAACATCAGAGCGAGCAAAAAACTCCCTAGGAATAACAAGACGAAAGGGACAGTAGAATCATGAGCTTAAAAATAGAATCTTTCGAAAGGTCCAGTTCCCCAACTTTACTCTTCAAATAATGTACAAATATACGCGAAGATCCGAACGTCTTAACGGAAGTAATGCATAAAGGTTATTTCCTAAAACAATAATCAAGAAAGCTAATCAAATGATCGACTCCTCTGTAGCTACAAGAGATAAATTTGAATCTTCAATGGCTCGAGAAACTTTTTGGTAAAACACCCACTCCTTAGAAACGAAACAAAACATCTGTAAATAGCAATTCATTCATAACTAATCGAAAGAACTGTTATGCAACAAAAAAGTCACAGAATTCCACGAGACATCAAAACACCAGCAAACGAAGGGATCGTCGACGTAAATATGGTGTTGATGGCATAAAATAACAATTCACTCACTTGGAAGGCCTGTGGTTGTCTTGCATTAAACTCGTCGGGCCCTAAAACGTAACGAAATGAATGAAGAAAAAATTCAATTGCGTGTGAAGTTCACGGAAATCCATTTCTTCTCATACAAACGTCAGCAGTTTTAGCGGACCACATTTCTCCCTTTTCATATCTAAATTTTACACTCATGAATCACAGAAAATCAAGACTTACTTTGCTGCGACGAAGGTGGTCCACGGGCATTTCTAAGATCAAGGAATTAAGGAATACAACAAAAATATGGTTCGGGAAAATGACACGACACAACAAAGGCTAACCTCACGACGCACCAAGATCAAACCCGGATGACTTTCCATCAGTATTTACGAGTCTCACTTACGCCATGAATGATATTTAATCAAGGATACTGTTGTGGTGGTCTTCCTTGAAAAACCATTGCAGGAGGGGAAGTGGCAGCTTTCCCCTTCTGCATAGCGGCGTAAGCGTTCTTACGCTAGCGACAAATGAAGCTTCTCACGAAGGTCTTCCGTTGCTTCGGACTTTGACTGTGAAAACCGTTCAGAAACACAAAAAAAAGGCAGCAGCGTATTTGTAGTTAATGTCGGGTGCTTTCCTTATCTTTTGGTTCCTTGATGATGTTTCAAGCGTACAGATTAAGAGGGATGAAAACTATTTCAATCCAACATGGCTGCTCTTCGGCGAGAAGCCGCAGAGAAATCCGGTGTGACGTCATGTTAGCCAGAGCTTGACACGTGATTTGCACATGGAGGAATTTTAAAATTTTTCCCGCGAAAAAGTCTTCTTTGTTTACTTTCGATACATTCACAAGTCCGAAGAACTTGTATCAGTCTGTTTATATTTTTATAGAGTCCTAAGGGGTTCAAGACGATAGCCTGGGTAAAATACTACACCTCCTAGGAGATGCTAGACGGAAGGTAAGGTTCACTACCTTCCATTGAGTATATAGGGCTCTGAAAACGGGAAGCCTTCACGTTCAGTTAGGAAAAGTTTCAGACCTCAAAGCTTACATTGCTTTAGGAACTTCTTTTCTAATACTCCTGGTTGCGCCCCTTTTTCCTCCCTCCCTCTTTCTAAAATTTGGGGACCCGTGCAGGGTAGACACGCCCAAATAATTCAAACGGTCACCTAAGATCACAAAAAGGATCTACGAGACATTTGTATTCGCACACTTAAGCCTGCTTCTCACTTGTGAGATAAGCACAGGCATAAGCACAAGCATGAGCACAAGGGAGCGCAAGGATGTTCGCATTAGCGACATATGCATGCGCAGTGTGAGTCATGTCGGAAACATTCTCGTCCCCACTTCTATTCGTTTTCAAATGTGAAAAGAACAGAGGCTCTGGAAAGGAGAATACGTCAGTGGAGAAACAACATGGCGGAGGAAGATGCGCTGTTTGCTGCGTTGATGTTGGTGAATACAACCAAAGTTCTGCTACACTTTATTTTAATAATCATTCCTTGGGTAAACAAACTCAGTTCGATTCGTGCTTTTGCTTACCTGATTTCAAATTTAGCTCTCGTGCGATCTCGCTCCACGCCAACTCCTTTTTATGTGCGTTTTTGAAGTCAACCAACAATTTATCGTACAGAATTGGATAGCTCCAGACAAGCTCTGCTAACCTCTCAACCGCCATTTTTGTTGACCGAGAGGAGATCTGGAACAGTGTTATTTTGAATGGTTGAATTCTTGCGCTTATGCTTGTGCTTATTTCAGACCAGTTCCCACTAGTGAAATAAGCGTATTAAGCATAAGCGCAAACACAAGAAAAAGGAAAATGTTTCTTTTTCTTGTGCTTATGCTTGTGCTTATTTCACCTCAGTGCACACTAGCATTTTCTTGTGTACTTATGCTTGTCAGTGTGCTTATCTCACAAGTGTGAACCAGGTTTTGAATTCTTTTCTCAGAAAAAAAATCGTCATAAAATCTCCAGTGAAATTGATTTTTTTTTTCTGAGTGGTCCTATAATTTTCTATCAGATCAGCATATAGAAAGCGTTGTTAATCAAGGTTCTATCAAATGGCATAAAACACACGAGACACAAGGAGGGGGGGGGCGGGGGAAAGGAGACAGGGACCTCTTACTTAAATATTTTTAGTTTTCGAAGCAAGACTGCAAGAGACCCTGAGACCTGATACCGGTCTTTCTTTGAAAGATTTTTTACATTAGAACTCTCTGGCCAGTGCTTTTAGAGTTATTACGTTTTCAGTCATGCGCAATTGTCAGAAGCTGTCATAAAAGCGTACCTTTCATCACAGTGAAGGCAAATAGCTTATCGGAACTGGTCTCATTCGAAGAATCACCACAATCACGTCTCCATTTATTAAGTAAAATAAAGATACAACAGTAATCATCATCATTATCATCATCATCATCGATATTTTACCAGGATAACCCTTAAGTACAATTACGGTAGTACAACAGAACTGTTATCAACGTGGTTCTGCTGACTAAAACACAAGAATAAAAAGTAGAAATATAAAAATAGAAATTAAATTTCAGTTATAAGCCTCCCGGCTGTAGGCCCATCTACATGTTACGAAAAAACAATTCCGGTGTAATTAAACCCCCCGAATATAAGCCTTCCTTTCCTTTCTGAACCTCACCATGCTCACTGGCTGGTAGTTTTCATTATCAAAAAGCTTTATACAACGACCTCCATGTTTCGCATACTCGATTCCTTACTTGTGCCTTGTAGTTCTTGTTCTCAAGAACATAACACATCTTTTTTATACTACTGCATGTTAGTTTCCTCAGCTTATTTCCAAACGTCTTTCTTTTATATCGCTTATACGGAACCCCTTCTGTGTATAAGGACACCAAAAACCACTTATATATACAGCTGAGTCATACAAGCCTAGGGAACAAGGACTGGGAACTACAGAATTCACGAATTTGATTCGCTGAAATCGATATTGATCGCGGTCTACACCGCTATCTAGACCGGCTACATTTTGCGGTGAAAAAGTTGCACACTAAAAAAAAAAAATCTTGACTAAATCTTGACCTTGGTCGTGTGTACAGACCTCCTGCTAGGTTAATAAGAGCTAATAAAACTGGAATTTTACGGTAGAACTAAGCACTCGGGAAGTTGTAGTGTCAACTTGTTCATTAGTTCCTTAAAGTGTAATCCGTGCGAAAATGAACTGCTGTTATTTCCGCAACAAGTGTCGAAGGATTCATGCTGAGGGATGAAACGGCCATCATCCGCTTTCCTCTAAGAATGGCTCAAGAATGTTTCCAGGAATTTGCGCCAACTTGCGTTCATCCAACTTCCGCCTCTCTCAACGAAGCACGGATCGATATGTCTTAAATGGTTTTCCAGTTCAGTTGACTGTTAACAGTTCAAATGCTTGGTGTTTTTAACCAATTACAGTTGGGTTTGTGATGTGCGTCTGTGTCGTCATGGTCAGTCGTGGAGAAAAAGACAGAACAGAGAATAGAGGAGCATCAAAGAACACAGGAGCTGAGCCATAAGAGATAGATTTTAGTACTGACACGTTTAGCTACTAATAGATATTGATAAAAATTTCGAAACTTGGACATTCCACTCATGCTTATTTGGAGTTTGCAAATTAAAGCTAGGCTGCTGACAGAGAGTACATTTTCAGACTGCTACCAGGCCCAAGCCTGTACTGTGCTAAAAGAAAACCTCTAACGTAGTAGGGCCTTTTGTAGCTGTAAAATTAACAACGGGCCGAAGTTGTTTCAAGTTCAGAGGGTCACAGCAGAAGAGAGAATGTCGAAATTTCGGATCAAGCAACTTAAAGCTATAAACAACAAAACTCAAATTACCTTTGGATAAAGATTGACGAAGAACATCATGGAACTTGTTCTTGAGCGCGTAGTGTATATTGCTGCCGCTGCTGTATAATATCTTTATTGTCTTTGTCTTGGCCTTGAGATCTGAAACGACACACTGGNTTATCTTTTGGTTCCTTGATGATGTTTCAAGCGTACAGATTAAGAGGGATGAAAACTATTTCAATCCAACATGGCTGCTCTTCGGCGAGAAGCCGCAGAGAAATCCGGTGTGACGTCATGTTAGCCAGAGCTTGACACGTGATTTGCACATGGAGGAATTTTAAAATTTTTCCCGCGAAAAAGTCTTCTTTGTTTACTTTCGATACATTCACAAGTCCGAAGAACTTGTATCAGTCTGTTTATATTTTTATAGAGTCCTAAGGGGTTCAAGACGATAGCCTGGGTAAAATACTACACCTCCTAGGAGATGCTAGACGGAAGGTAAGGTTCACTACCTTCCATTGAGTATATAGGGCTCTGAAAACGGGAAGCCTTCACGTTCAGTTAGGAAAAGTTTCAGACCTCAAAGCTTACATTGCTTTAGGAACTTCTTTTCTAATACTCCTGGTTGCGCCCCTTTTTCCTCCCTCCCTCTTTCTAAAATTTGGGGACCCGTGCAGGGTAGACACGCCCAAATAATTCAAACGGTCACCTAAGATCACAAAAAGGATCTACGAGACATTTGTATTCGCACACTTAAGCCTGCTTCTCACTTGTGAGATAAGCACAGGCATAAGCACAAGCATGAGCACAAGGGAGCGCAAGGATGTTCGCATTAGCGACATATGCATGCGCAGTGTGAGTCATGTCGGAAACATTCTCGTCCCCACTTCTATTCGTTTTCAAATGTGAAAAGAACAGAGGCTCTGGAAAGGAGAATACGTCAGTGGAGAAACAACATGGCGGAGGAAGATGCGCTGTTTGCTGCGTTGATGTTGGTGAATACAACCAAAGTTCTGCTACACTTTATTTTAATAATCATTCCTTGGGTAAACAAACTCAGTTCGATTCGTGCTTTTGCTTACCTGATTTCAAATTTAGCTCTCGTGCGATCTCGCTCCACGCCAACTCCTTTTTATGTGCGTTTTTGAAGTCAACCAACAATTTATCGTACAGAATTGGATAGCTCCAGACAAGCTCTGCTAACCTCTCAACCGCCATTTTTGTTGACCGAGAGGAGATCTGGAACAGTGTTATTTTGAATGGTTGAATTCTTGCGCTTATGCTTGTGCTTATTTCAGACCAGTTCCCACTAGTGAAATAAGCGTATTAAGCATAAGCGCAAACACAAGAAAAAGGAAAATGTTTCTTTTTCTTGTGCTTATGCTTGTGCTTATTTCACCTCAGTGCACACTAGCATTTTCTTGTGTACTTATGCTTGTCAGTGTGCTTATCTCACAAGTGTGAACCAGGTTTTGAATTCTTTTCTCAGAAAAAAAATCGTCATAAAATCTCCAGTGAAATTGATTTTTTTTTTCTGAGTGGTCCTATAATTTTCTATCAGATCAGCATATAGAAAGCGTTGTTAATCAAGGTTCTATCAAATGGCATAAAACACACGAGACACAAGGAGGGGGGGGGCGGGGGAAAGGAGACAGGGACCTCTTACTTAAATATTTTTAGTTTTCGAAGCAAGACTGCAAGAGACCCTGAGACCTGATACCGGTCTTTCTTTGAAAGATTTTTTACATTAGAACTCTCTGGCCAGTGCTTTTAGAGTTATTACGTTTTCAGTCATGCGCAATTGTCAGAAGCTGTCATAAAAGCGTACCTTTCATCACAGTGAAGGCAAATAGCTTATCGGAACTGGTCTCATTCGAAGAATCACCACAATCACGTCTCCATTTATTAAGTAAAATAAAGATACAACAGTAATCATCATCATTATCATCATCATCATCGATATTTTACCAGGATAACCCTTAAGTACAATTACGGTAGTACAACAGAACTGTTATCAACGTGGTTCTGCTGACTAAAACACAAGAATAAAAAGTAGAAATATAAAAATAGAAATTAAATTTCAGTTATAAGCCTCCCGGCTGTAGGCCCATCTACATGTTACGAAAAAACAATTCCGGTGTAATTAAACCCCCCGAATATAAGCCTTCCTTTCCTTTCTGAACCTCACCATGCTCACTGGCTGGTAGTTTTCATTATCAAAAAGCTTTATACAACGACCTCCATGTTTCGCATACTCGATTCCTTACTTGTGCCTTGTAGTTCTTGTTCTCAAGAACATAACACATCTTTTTTATACTACTGCATGTTAGTTTCCTCAGCTTATTTCCAAACGTCTTTCTTTTATATCGCTTATACGGAACCCCTTCTGTGTATAAGGACACCAAAAACCACTTATATATACAGCTGAGTCATACAAGCCTAGGGAACAAGGACTGGGAACTACAGAATTCACGAATTTGATTCGCTGAAATCGATATTGATCGCGGTCTACACCGCTATCTAGACCGGCTACATTTTGCGGTGAAAAAGTTGCACACTAAAAAAAAAAAATCTTGACTAAATCTTGACCTTGGTCGTGTGTACAGACCTCCTGCTAGGTTAATAAGAGCTAATAAAACTGGAATTTTACGGTAGAACTAAGCACTCGGGAAGTTGTAGTGTCAACTTGTTCATTAGTTCCTTAAAGTGTAATCCGTGCGAAAATGAACTGCTGTTATTTCCGCAACAAGTGTCGAAGGATTCATGCTGAGGGATGAAACGGCCATCATCCGCTTTCCTCTAAGAATGGCTCAAGAATGTTTCCAGGAATTTGCGCCAACTTGCGTTCATCCAACTTCCGCCTCTCTCAACGAAGCACGGATCGATATGTCTTAAATGGTTTTCCAGTTCAGTTGACTGTTAACAGTTCAAATGCTTGGTGTTTTTAACCAATTACAGTTGGGTTTGTGATGTGCGTCTGTGTCGTCATGGTCAGTCGTGGAGAAAAAGACAGAACAGAGAATAGAGGAGCATCAAAGAACACAGGAGCTGAGCCATAAGAGATAGATTTTAGTACTGACACGTTTAGCTACTAATAGATATTGATAAAAATTTCGAAACTTGGACATTCCACTCATGCTT